CTATCAAATGTACGCTAGGTTTGTGCTTCATATTTATTTAGTTAAAAAATGAACTTAAATCATTTGTGGCACAATCATTTCCGGGATTAAAAGTGCTTTTTTTGAATCTTATTCATTTTATGTATCTGAATCTATAAATCTGTCTCTTTCAGTGATGATTTGAGATATCAATGTGCAAGATGTTTGAAAAGTTTTCCATCTATTGATGAAGGAATGACTCATGTCACAGATATGCACCAAAGACATCTTCACTGCATCAGATATATAGTTGATACTCATTCAGAAGACTATGTAAGAATTTAAATTTTCTGTTTTGAAATTACTGCACATGTCGTTTGCTGATTCTGGCTTTTTTCCCAGATTAATATGGATACCACCCATCAAATTCTTGAATTTGGTTTACCTGTTGAAGCTTCTTTGAGCAGGGCTACCTCAACTCTAGGCTCTTCCCCTAGTAAAAATAGTTCTCCACTTCAGACAAGTACAAACCAAAGATTGTCCCCAAGAGGTTCTGTTGGAAGCATTACACCAATCACTTCACCTGTTTCTGGTACACCCTGCGTATCTCCTAAAAAGTTTGATTCTGTGAAAGGTATTAAAGCTCTAGGTTCGAGATCAGTTTTAAAGCCAATGCCCCAAACTGTACCCCAGTTTGATCAACCAATGGAATTGGGAACAAAACTTAGCCCAAGTGAGTATTTATATCAATAGACTTCTTTTTATTCTCATTTGCAATGTAAGATGAGCATTTATTTACTTTACTTTTTATATTAGAAACAAAACATGCAGTAAACCCACAAGCTGATTGTTGGATAACTGTTGAAGGTGAAGACATTGAAGTAGATGAAAGTGCTCTGGAGGAAGATATTGAGGAAGTAGAGGATGAAGAAACTAGTTCTGAAGAAAATCAATTACTAATGAGTGGAAATTGAGAAGAGTTTAATATTGAGGAGCAACCTTCTTCCTCTGCTGAAGGTACTGTATAATGATTTGGCATTAGCCAATGGTGGTCTTCCCCTTCCCGAGTACATCACTATTTTCTTTAATTTGTCAGTAAATTCCAATTGTATGTTTACTTTCAATTTGGATTGCAGCTATAAAACAATCATCTGTGAGGCTACACAGTTCAAAGGTACACCAAGGATTGGATTTGAAACCTGTTAAAAATAATTTGCCACCCTCTCCTAAAATTTTACCGCTGCCCAACCAACAAAAGAAAATTGGGCAAGTGTTTCTTCAATTATTTTAAAATTTCATTTTTGTATTTATATGAACTTGTTTCTATTTGCCTTTTATTATTTTTTTTGTGTCTATAGGTCAGCAACAAGAGTTGGGTCTACAGGGCAGATGACTTATCTCTTGATGAAAAACTTTCCGATGTCAAAATGGCTGAAATTGCAGATGTTTAAGAAGTATGTAAGAATGTTCATGTGCTGCGCTGCTGTTTTTGTAGACTAAGGGAAACATTACTGACTCGTCTTTTTATTCATTGGCAATCTTCTCACAAAAGCAACAAGTCATTTTCTGTGAAAACTCCTGATGGACGGAGCATTGTCCCTTTCAAGCTGAAAGAGGTACTTACCATTAATTTTGTTATTTTTGTTCTCCCTTTGATCTACTGAAAAAATAATGCTTTTAATAATATCTTCAAGGTGAAACCGGGTGCCAAGGGAATAGAAACAATGGCATTTAAATGTGGTTTGTGTGCTAAATCGGGAACAATAAAATTACTTCTTGATCATTATCCATCTCGTCATCCGGGAGAGAGACTAAGAATATCTGAGCTAATCCATAATAGAGTTCAGTGCTCTATGTGTCCGCCACAAAAAAGCATCCCTTAATCACCACTTACTGTCTGAGCACCCTGATGAAGAAGTTAGCTCAGTTAAAGTTAAGGAAAAAGATATGTCTGATGATCTCCAAACAAAGTGAGCATTCATTGAGTTCATATTAACATACATCCATTCCATATGTTCAATGAATGGTCAGGAAGGAATTATCCCTGCTCAATTGTATCTGTTTTGTTTCAGCATGGCATGTCTCTCTTGCTCCGAACCTGTGAAATCAGCCTTGGAAATGAAAGATCATCATTTAAATTTCCATTCTCATCTAGATGCACAATATATTGAATTGGATAGCAGTGAACCTGGACATCAGTTTCCAATTAAGGTGGGCGATTCTCCAGTACCATGAGAAATATCAGTGTATTTTTCCTATGATTTATTACAAGTGTAGATTACTTCAGTGTGAATATCATCAAGATGTCAGTTTATAGGAAGCTTTTCTCTCTCAAAAAAAATCTTTTCCACTAAACATAATGTTCATTTGAATGCTTGAAAACTTGATTGTACATTTGCCATAGGTATGTATATGATCCATTAAGTTTCTTTTCCGTCTTACAGTACTTGTGTGTTATAATTTTGAGCATCACATCCACAACTTGGGCTTGTTTATTTTTCTTCATAATTTGTAAGATCTGAGATCAAGTTTTAATGATAAACTGTGATTAATGAGCTGACTTTTATGTGGTATATGTTGGTGTCCTTAAATAGTTATCAGTATTTTGGAATAGTTCATCAGTATATTTTGGAATACTTAGCAGTAATTACTCTTCAATCAAATGTGCTTATTCCTGAGCAACATTTTTATTAATTAACTGTAAAGAGGGCATGAGCTGTGAGCTTACAAGTATGAATGAACGCTTATTCTACTCAGGGAGTCGGCCCTGACATTCCATAATAGAGGTTTTTTTCAGTTACCAGTCGAAAATTTTACTGCCTAGTAAAAATTTCTTAGTGTTTTTAGAGCTATGAGCTATGTGGCGTGGTAGTGACTGTGAATGTATGGCATACACACTTATTTTGGTACTAGTTTAATTTTTTTTAGACAAAATTAACTTTTTGCAAAACACAAGTTGATGCAAGCTTATGGACTGGTGATATTCCTCTTAGAGAGAACCCAAAAAGCCATCAGCCGTGGCTTGTAAAAGGTGCAATTTTTTTTTTTTACTTTCTTTTAATCATGTTTCCTCCTTTGTTTGTTTGTTTTCCTGTATCAGTATAATTTGATGTACATATAATAATTTGCATACTATGTGAACAGTGCCACTTCAAGACAAGCATCAATTCATCTGTGTATGGTGTCGGGTAATTCGGGAAATCGTTAAAGGTCAAAGAACAATTTTGGTGAGTCAGAGAAAAATTTCATGAAAAATGAATGCCTACATTATGTACTTACTTAGACTTTTATTTTACTTTTCATATGCAGGTGATGCTTAGTCCCATGTATGCTGTGCGGTCGTTCTTACCCACATCTATGCCAGCTGTCATATCAAATGATGAAAGTGAAGAAAAGGGTATGTCCCTTGAAATTATAGGTCAAGGTGAAGTCACTTTCCTGCATTTGCCTGGAGCTCTCAAAGAGAGCACTCATCAATTAAATCTTCGTAATGCTGCAAACATGAAAGTTTTTCCATTTGGATTCTCAAATATTGATCCGAAAAAAATATTCATAAGTGTAGATCAAGTTAATATTGAAAGTATCAAATGATGTCAATAGAGGCTGTGAGTAGAGTTGAAATATGTGCAAAGGACATCCGCCAGAAAACTTTTCAGTCTCAATTGATGAAGGTTTGTTGGAATTACCTTTCTGGTGCAGTATTTGGAGCAGGTAAGTACCGATGTACCTTATCAAAAGGGTATTGACTGATTCTGTTTTTTTTCTGACAAACCATCTATTGTGTTGCCTTAGGATGGGTTGTTAGCTCTCTAGTACTCCTAGGCAGTCCAGGTGGCATTGCCCAAACTCTGGGTACAGGCCTACGTGATTTTGTCAGTCTGCCATATCATGGAATTCTGGAGGGCCCTTGGGGCTTCCTTGTTGGAGTTACACATGGTTCTGCGTCTCTCATGAAACACTTCACTGCAGGTTGCAATAACTTCCTTGCTTTTTTAAACTATAGTACATCAAAGCATTCATGTGTCCTAATAAACTTTTTGTCTTCTTCAGGTACGCTTACATCAGTAACTAAAATGGCATCTAGTGTGGCCTGTAATTTAGATCGCTTGACACTAGATGGAGAACATTTAGATAGGACAGAGGAATTGCGGAGGGTGCGACCTCAAAGGAGTTGCTGAAGGCCTATTGCAGGGCTTAACCAGTCTGGGAATCTGTATATTAGGTTTGTTGACCATTTTCCTTGTTTTACCAATACATAATTAAGCGTACATACACAAGTGTGTTTGTTTCATTAGAAACTTATTTATCTTTTAGGTGCTGTCGGCGGATTGGCTCATCACCCACTTCAGTCAGTATTATCTGGTCAACCATCCCCTCGGGGTGTTGTAACAGGTGTTGGTAGGGGTCTTGTTAAAATGTTCACAAAACCTCTCAGTGGAGCTGCAGATCTAGTCGCTATGACCGGGCAAGGATTGCTTCAGGGTGCTGGATGGAGCAATTTACCACAGGTAAGCTACAAGGTGTCACCTTAGTATTTGTTACTTGTGAACGCTTCAAGTTTTCCCTAATAATTTTTGTTTTGTATGCAGCAAAGAGATCAAGCTAAGGCAGAACGAGGAAACCCACAAAGAAGTGCCTTAGTCAAGTTCAGCAAAATTCAACACCCTATTGTCTCTCAATGCCTACTTGTTCTGGAGGCAACACTAGAATCTAGTTCATCTCGTTTCAAAGCTGTTACATTGTTGCTGACAACTCAGAACCTGATAGTCCTATCAGCAGATGAAACAGATCCTACTATTTTAACCATCAGCTTCAATGGAGCACCGCCTGTAAGATAAACAATTTTACTTTGCAAAACGATTTGGGTCTAAGAACCTTTCTCTAAAGTCTGGCATTTTACTTTTCTTTAAGGTTGACCAAAGAATGTGGGACTTTGTAAACGGCTGCCAATATGCCGTCAACACTGGCCCACCAGCCCTTGAAACTTCAGAAGATATCAGACCAGCAAGTCCTATTCCACTCTCATCAACGTTACCATTAAGTATGCAAACTGTTGAACATCAATCTGCCCCAGAGGTGGAGGACACGAACCCGAACCTCAACCTCTCTCGTTCTTCTTCTGATGACGGCGGGGTTTCTCTGAGCGCTGTCCAGCCAGCCGATACATCGGCTTCTGCCACAGTCAGGCCCCCTACAATCTTCCATGTTAATCCTTTGATACAAAGGCACTTTATTATTCTCCTAAAAGTCGCTCAAAGGCAAATACAAAGCCAAGGCTTCCAAATTCTGTGATATTTTTTTTCAAAGGTTTTATTAATTTTGTATTATTAGTTTTTCCAATGAATTTGTTATATTTGACGCTTTTAAAGTATTTTTATCCACCAAGATAATTTATATTTTACTTGCATTTTACTTTTTCCTTCCCCTGGTGTAAGGTGGGTAGGTGGCCCGTGCCACTGGCCTTATGGCCCCGTGCGAGTATGCAACCCGCCCGCACATCTGCATGCGGTACAGTATACTGTAAGCAAAGAAGAAAAAGTAGGGGGTCTCATGTACCAGGTGCCTGAAAACCCCCGCGCACTTCTGTACTATGCCGTCCCGCATGCACGAGTGCGGGCGGGTTGCCTACTCGCTTGTCCCGTAAGGCGCCACGGTCAGGGGCGATAGGCAAACCCGGCCCGCACTCCTGCGTGCGGGACGGCATAGCGCACGGCCCTGCCCCGTGCCTTTCTTCATTTTATTTCACTCGATTCGGTCGGCAGCTTGTTCCCAGCGGGAGTCGCCGTGCCGCGTGCATGCGGGTAGGTGTCTCGGCCGGACCGGAGGCGAGGCAGGCGAACGCGAGGGGCGGCACGGGCCCCCGCGGTACGGCCTGGACGGGAACCTCACAGCCCCTCCTCCCTCCAGTCCAGCCCAGCGCAGCCCAGCACTCCAGCACCGGCCAGGCCCTTATATTCTAGCTCTCAGTAAATGGTTCTGCACCTTTTTGTAAACCCGGGTGCCCCGAGGGGACGTTCTATCAGTAAAGGGCAAAAATCGAGACACTCAATTTTTGATTTTGACCAAATATTTTTTTTCTCTCTTGAAATGATGCCAAATGATAAGAAAAAAATTTTAAAAAAATTTGGCTCAAATGGTTAGTGAAATATACACAAAAAACTGTCTAACTCAAAAGACGCGGCAATAAATTTTGTTGAAATATTTTTTTCCTGATTCAGTTTGGCATTCTGATTTTAAAAAACTTTGTCTCATCCTCTGGACTTGTACGGTTTAAAAGTTAGCGCTCTCTATAATAGTCTAATTTCTGAGTTTCCGCTAATTTACCTGATAAAATTTAGCTCAACATGTTTGCCAGTGGCTGCTCAGGTAAGAAAATTGTCACAGGGGTTGAACTCAACTATAGAAAGTATATTCTGACAAAAAAAAAAAAGTATCGTCAAAAAAACTATAGCTAAAGTCAACCTCACAGGGTTAAACTTAATGATGACTTACTTACACGTTACTTTGTACGATACTTTTTTTTTTTGTCAGAATGTACTTCAAGCATGAAAGCAAGATGATGAAGGAGCAAGGACCCGGTGCGATACGCAGGTGCAAGGTCGGCAGCACGGTCGCCGGGTCCAGGGAGATGCCTACACGCCGCAGGAACCTAGAGCAGGGCAGAGAGAGACTCCGTCAAACTAATCCAAGGGTCGTACGAGGCGCCTGGAGGATAGGCCGTCCCGTTGCACTGCCGTGTCGTGCGGGACGGCCTACCCCAAGGCGCCCCAACTGAAAATGTCGATCAGCCCAGTCAGTCAACGGCAACGAGCTTCCCGACAAGCTTGTGGCTCAACATCGGTGTCGAGTCGACGGAGTTTGACCTCGCGCTGCTGCTGCTGCTTACGTCGGGGGCGGCTGTCGCCAAGCGTTGTCCACCCGGGAGGTGCGCATGATGTGCGCCAGGCGCAGGACGAGGACGAGGGCGCAGTTGTCGCGGCCGATCTGCGCGCACCGCTCCTCCTCGCTCTGGACCTGCTTGAGCTTGCACGAGACGTGGCCGCGCTCGGGGGGCGGGCCCACGTCCACCACCGGCAGCGCGGACTCGACCTGGGAGGGCATCATCGTCATCGTCATCGTCATGGGCAGACTGGACGCGTCTTAGATGGGGAGTGCGGACATGTGTTGGTGTTGTAAAACAACGCAGCGCCTCTGAGTCGCTCACAAATCGCGTGACGGAGGAACATTTTTGACCATTTCTCCTGGTATTGCCCTCTCTTCTACAACTAAACTCGTTGGAAAGTGGATTAACTTTAGCCGGGCGAGGAATACACGTGCGTAAAGGGGGGGGGGGGTGTAGGGAAAGTACACCTCTCACACGCCCCCGTCCCGTCCCCGCCGCCAGCCCCCATGGGCCCCACCACGGTCCCCATGGTCCGACGCCCCCTCTCCTGTTTGATCAATGGCAACAATTGTGAAGTGACAACTAATATTTTTACAGTGCACTGTTGTCGCGTTATCAATTGGTTCTCATTTACAAAGCCGAAACGAATCCTCTTTGCACAAGGTACAGCGTTTGTTTGTGCCAGAATGATTGTTTTACTTTATCAGTTCGTGACCATGACACTTTTCCCGTAAACATTTCTTGGCGTGTGTTTCTTTCATGTCCCCGGGACCCCCTCCTCCCCCTTTCCTCCTTTCCTCGACAAGCTCGTTGTCCTCTTGCCCGAGAGAGTAACAATCTTGTGACAGGTAATTTGTCACACGCCAAAAAGTAAAATAAAAAAAATACTGATTCTAAGCAGGTTGTTACCCTGTCAGAGACCTGTAGAGATCCATGTAAACTTCACCTCATTCGTACGACTTCAGTCACGAGTGTAGCTTTGCGGACGTGAACACCCTTTTACACCTTTGCATGGTTGGAAGAAGCTCCTTTCAATATATACCGATGGAAAGGTGTTCAAAGTAATTCAAATTTGTGTCTGGTTAACGGTAAACGCTCAGTTTTGAAAACAATACCACCAGGCCGTTTTACTTTTCAAAAAAGTTTGCGTTTGTACGACAATTTTGCACTATTCTAGTACAATAAGCCTTAGGCACTACCGTGATCCAAAAGTGAGCTCATTCATAGCCTAGTGCCTACATGGAGTTACGCAATTTCTCAGATCACTATGTAAGAACAATTTCTTTGCTCAAAGAAATTTAATTTGAAGCCCGGTATGCGCACGTAAAGCCTTTTTAGACCACATTGAATAATGTGGGCTTTTCGGTTTGTTTCCTCAGTTGTTGCTGCCACAATGCGCGGGCGCGGGCCCCGGCCTTGCTGGTCCCAGGGGAGCCTAGCCCCCCCCC